CATGGGTTTCTGTTTCTCTTACTATTTGGGATCCCCTCTTGTTTTGTGCCACGCCGCTTCCACCGAGGTATTGTCGAGCGGGGCCTCGCGGGCCCACCAGCGGGGCGGCTTAGCCCCATTGAACTCACCGCCCCGTGTTGCCCCTCGCCAGCGCCGCCAGCACCGCGCGGCCGAGCTTCTCCCAGGGCGAGGCCAGGCCGAACGAGGCCTATGGTCCCAGGGCTCCTCCGCGGAAAACCAGGGCCCCTCGAAGCGGCCGCCAGCGGCCGCCAGGAAAACCCCGGGCGCAACGATGAGGCAAGACGAGGCCGAGAGGACCCAAGAGCTCTTCCACGTCTCCCTACCTGGTTCACCGCCTTGAAACCACCGCAGGGGGGGGGGGCCGCATCGTAGGCCAGCAAGCTTCCAAAACAACTCCATCTTTCGAGGGTTGACTGCGAAACGCGCAATTCTGAGAGAGCCTGCTGGCCTTCTGTGAGGTATATGCGAGCCGTCGCCGTGTCTTGCCAACGCCCTCTCTCTAGAGTGGCAGGCATGTTACGAGTGCGACGGAAGAACGATGTGGCCCCCCCTCTTCTTAAACTGTATGGCTTGAGTTGAAACTGCTGGCAACCGATAGCAGCACACACTTGCTCAAATATACGCCTGAAATCACCAATTGAAGATGGCAATATCTGTTGGTCTGACGGAACATGTCGTAATCAATACGATATCAGCTGTGTCACCGAGGCATCCTCAATCACGACTGTCTCCTGTAGATGAAATCGCAGGCCACTTTTTGTGATTGGCAACGCTACAACGATTCTGGCGCGAGCCTCGTCGATGCCCACCTGCCAGCGCCGCAAGGTCAGCATCTCGGTGGTCCTCAGGAAGGCCGCGAAGCCGAAGACCAGCAGCGCCGCGACGTCGTTGCGGCCCCAGCCACGCGCGGTGGCAGCCAGCGCCGTCAACACGACGTCAGGCATCGGAAGCACGCGTTGCGGCAGCTCTAATCTCTGCCAAGCACGAAGTAGCCTCCACGACGCTGGCAGGATGCGCTTTTTGCGCAAGAAGAACTGAACGGCTGAAAGAGTGTTACCTGCCAAGCCTTGAGGATGCCCTTCAGTCCAGAGCCACTTGATCCAGTCGGCCACCAGAAGATCCAGTTGATCGATGTGGTCGGCACCTCCAGACCAAGAAAGCCCTCTCATGGCAACCCAATCTGAAAAACATCTCACTGCATTCTGATATACCTCCAGCGTCCGTGGCTGCACCAAATTGTGTGATAGGCGACCCACCACGGCCCGAGGTTGACGACGCGTAGCCTGATCCTGAGCTGCTCTGACTCTGTGTTGAACTCGACCTGGCATGAAGTCAACCAGAAGCCACAGCCGCCCCCCTCGACGGGTTGTCCGCGGGGTTGCGGTCAGTCTCCGTGTAGCCATACACAGGACGGGCAAGGGCAGCCAAGATCAAGGCACCAATGCGTCGAACGGTAACATGCAGCAACTGAGATGATGATCGGCCTCTGGTAATGACTCCGAGACCAGCTTGAGAATCCATCAGATGACAAAAGCGGGTGCGTAAATGTTGAGAGGATCTGAAGCGCCATCGCATGGCTCCCAGAGTGGCTCTCACCTCAAGGTCCGTGATGTGCGACGGGTGCTTCCAGTCCCAGATGGCGGTGGCCTTCCACGACCAGCGCGCCACACTGACTGGTCGCCTGGGCCACAGATCAGGCCGCATCGCCTCGAACGTGTCAAGCCTGATATCGCTGCCTCTGGCCTCTGCACGGCGGGCCAGCTCCTCCACGATGATGATGCTGGGGTCCAGCGCGGCATCCTCGCTCTCGAGATCGTGCTGGCGCACCAAGACACCGTCGTCGCAATCTATCTGGTCCATGCTGACTGTGGCATCGGCGACGGTGGCGCCACCTCCAGTCTCACGCATCTGCCTGGCGGAGGGGATCTCAGTCAGGTAGCCTGCTCTCTGAGCCCAGTGGGCCAGCACCCAAGCGACAACCACACATTGAAAGCTGTTCCCAAGCAGAGCGCACCGGCAACATTCCAGATCAGCTTTCTCGAGCTTGCGCGCTCTAGTCACCCGTGCCGTGATCGTGTGCCCTGGAAGGAAGTCGAGCAGCAGCTCTCTCTCGACACTCGAGGGGGGCCTTCGGCTGCCGTCAGGCTCCTCGATGCAGTTGACGTCCTGGAACTGGTAGGGCGCGTAGCAGTAGTTGAATCTGCGCCAACGCTCGAGTTCGTGACTGCACATTTGTCGAGACCTGACGGGAATTGACCTGGAGCACGACGAGGAACACAGCGCAGAAAGGTGGGCAGGCGGAAGTCCTTCTGGATGTCACCCTGCCACTGAAGCCCAGCGGCCAGCCAGCGTTCAACTGGACCAGGCCCGTCAGGGATCACGACGTGCTTTACCGAGTCCATGACATACGTCTCGCCCTGCCACGGCGTCAACAGCTCCTCCTTGATCCAATGCAAACGGTCACGCTGGCAGTGTGTGACATCACCCGCTGAGATGCACACAGGTTCGCATCCCAGGGAATGTGACATCAACTGTCGCGGTTCCGAGTCCATTGGGGCCACGTTCTCAACCAGGGGCAACACCGTGCAGAAATCACCCAGCGCCTCGCGCAGCAGAGACACAATGCGGTTTATCTCGTAGAATAGACGTGAGCGTCTCCCTTGAAGACCAGTACGCTCAACATTGATGCGGGCCAGGTCGCTGCAAGGGCTACCGGCCACCACTAATATCCACTTCATATGCGGAACTCGTTCACGGATGGCCACCGCCTCGGCGAACCCAAAGGAGCAGACGTCGCCGACTTCCAGCACGTCCGGCCACGCATACTTGGTCACTCGCTTCGCCTCGGCGTCGATCTCGGCGGACACGAACAGCGCGGGAGTGAGCCCCATCAGGTCCAGGGCGCGGCGAGCCCCACCAATGCCGTCGAACAAGGACAGGAGCACCACCTCGTCGCGGAAGTCAGTCACCAGCCTTCGGCTGGCCGCTCTCGCAGCGGCCACTCCATCAGGCCGAATGCGAACAGCTCGACACACGGCTCCACGCTGCATGCTGGCATCCGAGACCGTCACCAGCCCGCTGATCGGCACGCGTAGGTCACAGCGAAGCAAAGGGAGCAACGTTAAGGCCGACAACAGCTCCTCGCGTACCTTACGTGGCACCTTCGCATCACCACGCAACTTCACCAATAATCGCCACAAGTGAGTGAAGCACATCATCGCCTCGCGCCTGAACAAGAGGCACCGAACCAGCGGCCCGCCAGGATCTGCATCCACTTCTGAGTCACTGTGGGCCTTTGCAGAGTCGCCAGGGTGAGGGAGATCAGCCGTCGCACGAACTCTGCGGGCGGCCCGATGGTGCCACGATCCCCATCGATCGCCTCCCCGAGGGACTGCGTCGTGGTCTCGCGGATGACGGCCTTGTTCTCGCTTCTTGGCACGTTGAAGTGCTCATACCTCCGACGGGCCATGTCGACCGCCTCGCTGATCCCCTCCTCCTGCAGGGACTTGGCGTGCCACCAGCCGGTGATTTCCAGCGCATCCAAGTTGTCGATGTACACCTGCCAGGCCCTCCAGAGGGCTGGCGTGTTGAAGCGCTCCAACCACTTCGCGATCAGAACATCGCCGTGGCAGGCCTGGTGCTCCTTGCAGTGGCAAAGCAGCCGAGCACCACTCAGAGAGGATAAGTCGGCCAGAAGGTCGGGCGACTTCTCCAAGTGTCTGCGAACAGCTCGATGACCTGCCTCCTGTCCAGACCATCCCGAATGCGGAACGGGTTGCCCCACTTCGATGGGGCAAGCTGCAGTGAGCTGGAGCCGCGCCCGATGTAGATCATCCGCTTGTCGTCATCATAAGTGCGGCCGACCTCGCCGCGGACGGGAGCCACTCCTGAGTTGTGAAAGCCACCTCGGCGAGCAGGAGGAATAGGAGCGTCCTTGCGCAGCTCCTCCGACGCTGAGAGTTGACGTAGCTCAGGATGTCGGGCTCGAAGAAGACGACGGTGAATGTGCTGAATCACCCCTGTGGCCGATATCCATCCCATGGGCACGACGGCGGCGGCTAGGTATATCATGCCCTTGCCTGGAAGCCCAGCGGCGCACCTCCTCGCGGGCTTTGAGATGGCCATGTATTTCAGCCACACATCGCTGAGGCTGTATACGTAGAAGTAGCACTTCAGATCCTCCGCGCTCCAGAGCATCACCTCCCCAGACCTGAGGATCACGCTCTTCCACTTATCGCTGTGGGGCAGCATCGGCATGTCGCCCTCGATAGTGTTCTGGATGAAATTGGAGGGGATGATGTTCATCACCAGCCGTTGGGGCCCCTCGCCCTTCAAGTGGGATCCCTTCTTCACGCCGAACATGCCCCCCATCACCTTGCGCCCTTGAACTTCCACGATGTCCTCGTACCCGATCGTCTTGATAATCCCCCTCTCGAGTAGGTCGCCAGCGATAAGCTCCCATTCCTCGTTCGAGGCCCAGACCTTCGGAGTGGGGGGCAAGCTGCCAAGCCCCGACTCGTCCTTCAGGATCAGACCTGGATCGGAGAGGGCAGCTCTGATCCAGCCCTCTGTCACATCGACGGCCCTCACGGCAGCGCACGCCTCTCGAGGAGGCAGGGCTTCGAGTAAACGATCACGGTCCAGGGGCTCGGCAGGGAACACCTCCTCGCCGTCGTAGGAAGTGGCGGCGGAAGAAAGGTCGGTGTCCCAATCGATGTCAGGGATCAGGCCAGCGCACTGCTCACGAAAGACTCTGACCTCATAGAGAAGATTATTGAAGGCCTTGCGCTGAGTGGCGCTTGGAGGGCCGTGAGGCGCATGGACCCAACTGCGAGCGCAGTGAAAGTTGAGACCTGACACGATGCAATGCAGCCAATCTAACTCCTCAGACTTCGCAGCTGCCAGCTCTTGACTGTCCTCACGAATGTCTCCGCGACGTTGAGGAGCAGCCAAACCATGAAACACGATCGGGAGCGGGAGGAGATCACGACGCTCTCGCCGACCGTTCGGTGATGGAAGCGGATCTCCATAAACTGCATCATATTCGGAAATCAGCGAAGCCGTCGAGGGAGTGCGTAAAGAAGCCGGGTGCGAGACATCATCGTACTCAGGAGTAACGTCAGCTTTACCAAATGACTGATTGACCGAAGTACCAGTGGATGTACGTAAAGAAGCCAAGTGTGAAGAGTCGCCAGTCTCGCCGTGAGCTGCCCCAGAGGCAGACCCAGCACCACCAGTAGCGGCAGCCAAGGTAGGCGAAGGCGACCTCGAACGATGTAATGCGGACTTACGTTTAGTGCCAGGGTGCAGCGCAGGAAGTAGCCGAGACAACAGAATGGTGCCGAAGTCCTCAACGGATGAACCAGGCAGCGCACAAGACAAGGAAAATGAATTCTCGGAGACACTCTTTGTGTCACAATCGACAGTGTGCTCCGCGTCATGCAAAGAGTCAAAACTAGATGACCTCTGGGATGAGATCTCCGACTCCTGATCATCGAGTGGAATGTCATTCTTCTCAGACTCAGACGGAACAACCATCATGTCTGTGGGAGCTAGGCGCGCTGCTTGCCTTTGCTCTTGCCCTTCGGCTTGCCCTTGGAGCCGGGGCCCTGCCACGTGCCCGACTTGTTGCCGCCCTTGCCCTTCTTGAACTTCGGCTTGCCCGAGCTCGTGGTCTTCGCCTTCTCGCCCTTGCGCTGAGGTGAAGGTGGACCTGGGCGGCTCCTCGGCGCGGGTGACTGCTGCAGTCCGCCTTGCTCGACCTGATCGGCGAAATGCACGCGCCTCGCTGGTGACGCTGGCCGCGTCTCCCTTCCAGCAGGTGGGCGCAGGATCGGTCGGCGATCGGGGCCAGGGCTGACGGCGCCGCGCGCGGCGGCGGCTGGTGACCCTGGGGCGCCAGGCGCAGGAGGATGCGGGGCTGCGGGGCTGGCCGACTGCTGCGCCTGCTCTCCTCCGCGAGCTGCTGGTGCTGCAGCCTGCTTCTTCGCGGCGGCAGCCTGCCTCCGCTCCTTCCTCCATCGCGTCTTTCGCGATGCCTTCACGCGCTCCACCATGCTGCCGGGCTTGCTGGCAGTCGGGCTTGAAGAGAGGAGGATGCCAGGGGTTGGAGATGGCCTCCGAGAGGGCGGCGCCCGAGGCTGTCCGCTGCCCTCTCGGCCTGACCCCTATCCTGCGCCACCTCCCTTCTTGGCCTTCGCCACGCTCTCGGCCAGGCCAAACGTCCTCTTGTGCTTGCTCACGGCGTCGTGCACCTCCTCCTGGCGAGCTAATCCCACGCCCAGGTCGTCGCGCAGCTCGAGATGCTGGGCTACCTGCCAGTGGCCGTCCTTGGTTGCCTGCTCGATCGCCTTCAGCCTCTGCATCAAGAGGTCGCCCAGGTGATCCAACTCTCCTCTGAGCAGTGCGTCGAGACACTCGCCGACGGTCCGCATCTCGCGCACATTTCTCACCCCCATCTCGCTCTGCGGGTGGTGACCGTGCCAGACGCTCGTGATGTACGCACCACGGTCGCTGCCAGTTCGTCCAGGCCCTTCTCGGTGTCCGCCCCACCACGCCGTGCCAGATAGCGCTTGATCTGATCCATTCCGCTCGACAGGAGAGCTCCTGGAGCGGCCTGGGCAAGATGAGCTATCCTGCGGCCTGGGTCGACGTGGGGGGCGCCATCAAAAACTGAACCCTCGGAGCTGCTGTCATCACCAGTGCGTCGTCCCCGCCTCCTCTCGCGACGACCCACTCGACGACCGCCAAGAGCCAGCTCAGCGCGCTCAGCGAGGGCCTCACCTATCCCACGCTTGCGATGCAAGCGTAGGCGCAACTCAGTTACCTTCCTCTTCAGCTCCTCGGGGGTGGGCTCCGCGCCAGCCACGGCAGCTCCAGCGGTAGCTCCAGGCGAGCTAGCACCTCCGACGGGTCCGCCAGGGATGCCAGCGGCTGAGTGCCCCCCAGCGGCTCCGCGACTGGCCAGCAGCGCCTGAGCCCACGGCTCAGTCACTCCCGTGGCGCTCCGCATGCGGTAGGTGACCACGTGCAACACCGAGCGCTGAGGCCACTGCACCAGCCCTGAGCATACGCTGGCCTGCTGGGTACACAGATGCAGCACCGCGCCACCAAGGTGATTGAAGCTCCCCGACAACATCGGCCACAAGGCGGCATTACTGCACCCCAGGAAGGACGCCTCCACGAAGACACCCATGCCATCGCCAGGCCACACGCTCTGGATGTTGAACAGCGCCGTGCCGACTGCGCTGCCGAAACTGTCCAGGGTCACGCACTCCAGCAATCCTCCCGGTGACAGCCCGAGCCGCTGGTAAGCCATCGGTGATGATGGGCCGTGCACCCAGGGTCCTGCTCCTCCTTGTGGTGCCGCTAGGTCGAAACCACAGCCTCCTGGAGCCCCGACTCCACCACCAGCAGCAGGCACCCAGCCCAGCAGGCCACCAGCACCCGGGGCTGCTCCTGCACCTGCGGGTACGCCTCCAGCTGCACCGCCGAGAACGCCGCCAGCAGCCGGGGCCCAAGCACCAGCGCCGCCGTGGCCTCCGACTCCGAGAGCACCCCCTCTCAGTCCAGGGACAGCTCCAGCGGGAGGCCCTGCTACGCCTCCAGCTCCACCGATCACAGCGGCCGCGCCACCCGCTAGAGGGGTAGGCACGAGCCCGCCCAGCGGGCCTCCTCCACCGGCAGCGCCAGCCATCCCAGGCGGACCTCCGCCTCCAGCCGCCACAACGCCTGCGGCCGCTCCGACTCCCGCGGGCAGTCCACCGCAGCCACCTGCCAGTGCTCCAGGAACACCTCCAGCCCGCACGTCCGCGCCAGCGGCTCCTCCACCTGGTGGGCCATCTGCGACGGGAGCTGCCGCGGCTCCTCCGACGGCACCGTCCGCTGCAGCTGCGGCGGCTGCACCACGACCACCTCCGCGGGGCCGAGCCGCGACGCCTCCGCGACCTCGAGCGCCTGCAGCAGCCGCGGCCGCACGCGCTCGCCTGCCGCCCGCAGCCCCGCGTGCAGCAGCCGCGCGTCCTCCACGGGCTCCTGCAGCGCCTCGCCCGTCTCCGCGACCGCCGCGACCGCGGTTGCCTCCGCGGCCTCCTGGGGGCGCGGGCAGCGCGGCAGCTGCGCCCGCGGGCAGCGCAGCGAAGCCGCCAGCGGCGCCGCTCGCGGCGGCCGCCGCCATCACCATGGCCGAGCCGCCGCGCCCGCGGCAGGCGGCGCGCCTGCACCTGAGGTCTCCCCCTGACCTCAAGCTTTCAAGGCAAAAAGCCTGCGGCGAGGCGGCATCGCGGCGCATGCGCAGGAGAGAGGGGCCCCATAGGAGAAACAATCAACATGTTCTAACATGGGTTTCTATATATATATATATATATATATATAGATGTATGTATACATATACATACATATCTGTATATATACACATATATATACATATATATGTATTCACACACGCATACGTATAAACACCTAACGGGTTTCGCGCGCGCGTCGACATCGATCGAACGCCCTTGCGCGCGTGCCGTCGCGCGAACCCTTTGCAGCATAACGGGGCGAAGTACACGCGCGTGCGTCGTCGTGCGCGCGTGCGGGAATCCTTCAAAAGCCTTCGGGTGCGTAACGATTTCAAAACCGAATATAAAAGCAACAATCAAAAACGCATGGTTGCGCAACATCAGTTTTCCAACATTTTCGTGCTGGCGCCGCATTCCGAAATTGCCCGCGCGCCTTTCCCCGCGCGTTGGGGGGGGCCGCGATCCGCGTCGAAAAAAAAACGGCGCGGGCCAGGCCACTCTCGCGCGTCGGCCGCGCTCGCGTCGAATTCCTTCCACGACCTTCATCGCCAACGCGAGGGCGCCGTCATCGTCGTCGGCGTGATCAGCATCGGCGCCCGCGCTGGCCGCGCCGTCGTCGTCGTCGACATCGTCGCTACTATCGTCATCGCGTGTGCCGTGGTCGACGTGGCCATGATGCCGCGCCCGCCCGAGTCGCCGACTCGCGCTGCGGTGCCCGCTGCGATGTGCCTAGCGGCCAGCGCCGCCGCGGCCGCGTCGGCCGCGCTAGACTAGCTGGCCACTGCGCGCGTGCCAGGGTTGGCGCGGCCGCGGAGATGCGCCGGCCAACGCCAATCATGCATCACAATCGCCGCCGCGTGGGTTTTGCAAACCAAATTGCGCCGACCCGTAGATAGAAATTCGCCGGCCCAACGGGCCGGAGGCGTGCTGAGATCTCTGGTAACTACTTAAACAATATTTCGAGTTCGCGCGCGCGGGGGGGGCCCTGGGGGGCCGCGGGCGAAAAGTACCCCGGCCGTTCCCCAGCTGACCCCCAGGCGATCCCCAGGGGGGGGGCTATTCTTCGAGGGTCGCGGCCTCCGACGGGGGGGCCGCAATCGACTGCCCCCCCGCCCGCCCCAAGGGGCCCCCAAGAGCCCCCCAGCAGGCCTCTGGGGAGCCCAGTGCGCCGCCAGGGAGCCCCAAGACGCTCCCAAGAAGCACCCAAGAAGCCCCCAAGACAGCCCCCAGAGGCCCCAAATAGCGTTCCCGGGCCGGCGAAATGAGCGAAGCGATTAAATAAATTGCGTCGCGTAGATTCTCCTATCTAGAAAAGAAATAGGTTCTACCCCCCTGGACTTATCAACTCCCCGGGAACCTATGCAAAACGTATGCGATTCTGACCGAATGTCCATCCTACCTGTGAATTCATAAATATCCCAGCCAGACCGGTATCGCCCCCCCCCGCCATCCCCTGCAACAGAAAATTATGCGTGCACGCTCGTGTATCACAAATCATAAGTTTTCAAGAATCCCTGGCCACAAGAAAACGAAGTGCGCGCGCGTCGTCGCGAGCGCATGCCAAAATCCATCAAACACTTTCGGGTTCGGAAAGACTTCCAAATCGAACGCCATATGTTTACGCACATATATACATATATATATATATATATTATATATATATATATATGGGT